CTAGTCATTTTAAATCTGCCTTTAACTAAAGTCCAGGTTTACCTTTTTCTTAGTTATATAGTTTAGTGTATGTTTTATATACTTCTTTGATGTTTTTAGAATTTCATGCAGTACAAACCTACATGTTTTTTCAAGCAAGTTAATGGTTTCGCTTATTTTGGCGCTTTTTTTTCTACAGCTGATACATTTTCACAGTTCCCCTTTGCTTGCACAGTTCCTCATTTTCAACTGTGTTTTTATAAATACGCTGTAGACGGGCCATGGTATAAGCTTTCATACTGTTATTGTGCATATTCTTAGCAAGCAGTACATCAACTGTGAAGCAAGCCCTCGCTGACCTTTGTAGCTGCAGGCACTGTGGGCAACACATCCTCAAAGTTCTTAGCAGAAGCACTGTCTCAACACTCTGATCTCGCCTCTTCTGCTGTTGCTGCTCTATATTTACATTAGAGATTGGAAGGCTGTCAGGCTATCAAGGTACTGCTGGAAGAAGGTAGCAAAACAATCCTTCAAGAAAAAATGAAGGTAAAAATGTTTTTGCTCTAAACTTTTAGGATGAGTTACTCCACAGCTACAGAGGTCAGTGAAAGCATGTTTTAAAGATCATTACTGCTTGTTAGGAATATGTAAATATCCGCATGCCTATAGACTGGTCACAGCTCTACTTCGCTTTGCTAATGCAGGGAAAGCAAAAGGTTCACTTAACTCACCTTCCCTTTGCTCCCTTGAGGTTCCAGTCAGCCACCAGGAGGGATGAAAATTACCAAGTAAAATACCAAGTACTTCCAGGTATGAGGGAATATATGACAGGGATGACAGTGATCGGCTGCTTGGCTGTCACATGAAGGCCAAATCCTCAGCTTAGTCCACAGATCAAGTTGTGACTTTGAACTTTCACAGGGATTTCGCAATTCAAGCCTGGCAGCCGAGGGGAGCTTTAGTGAAGTAAAAGCAAGGTGAGTATGTGTAGCTGTGGAGGAAGCAGTTAAAGTGTATGCGAACCCCAAATTTACTTTCAGTATGTTGGTATCATGCCCCACTGTGTACAGTTTTCTTAATCACTTTTGTACGTTTTGTACCCTTTATGGACCAGAGCAATTGTTACATTTCTACTATGGGACAGTTTATTTGGTCATCAATTTGTCATTACATAAGATAACAAGTAGTCAATACATTTTTTGGGGGGACAAACTAGGCTTTCTTATATTTTTTAAAAACACTGGTCAAAATAGAAAAAAATGCTGTTTTTTTATTTTTAATAATTATGTTTTTAAAATGATTATATTATTATAAAACAATATTATAAATATTGTTTTATTTATTATATTTGTATATTTCTGTCAACTACAGACAAAAAAACAAAACGTGCATTTTTGTTTCTGTTTTGACCAGTCCTTTTTTCAATTGACATTAAATTGATGTTCCTGGTACAATCTATGGCAAAGTTATTAGCAAAAATATAAAAGGTGTTTTTGTTTTTTTCTATTTAGTTAATTTTATATGTGACACAGAAAAGATAGCAATAAAATATTCAAAGTAAAAAAAATTAAATTAAATCTTAAAAGAAAATAAAAAAATAGAAAAATACAAATTAAGGGGAGTAAGGTGTTAGGGTTAACTGGAGTTAACTGAGGGTTAATAATGGGTTAAAAAGAATACATTTTACAAAAAAAAAAGTTTTACTTGTAAGGTTCCTTTAACTGATGTCATATACAAATCAAATCTTGCTTGATTTACATATGAATAACATTGTAAATACGATGTTACATTGTTACTCTGTGTTACTTAACCACACTTGCAGGCTATCTGCGAGAGTTGTTTTGCACAGGAGCACATTTTATACACATACATAACAAATGTTATACACATGTAGTAATTAGTAATAATGGCGCAGTAGCGCTGACATGGGAAGAGTAGCTGAACGTTAAAGGTAAACCCTAGAAAGCTTTTTTAGCATTCATAGGGCATATTTCATATGTTTAGGGTCCTTTAGTGGTTCAGCAAACCATTTTCGGTGAATCAGTTGCAAAGTGTGTTACCTAGAGAATGGCAGCAGCATTTTCAGCCTGGCATGGGTGCTCCTTTAATGCATGTCTCCTTGCTTAAAATGTAATTCTCTGTTACAGGGGATCTGTTATGGAGACTGTTGCCTTCCACAGCTGAGGCTTCCATCCAGTGCTGGAAGTTGCCATTATTTGACTCCTTTAGGTGTCACCAGTTCCAGGGCAGAGAACATCTCTACAACATCTCACAACTACCACTTTCAGGAGCTGAGCTATGGCTCCCTCCAGAGTTGGCTGAGTGCCTTGTCTGTAACAAATAACGGTTATCTGGCTTCTGGAAGGTTCCCTTTTAATTTGCCAGCTTGCGCAACATTTAACTTTTTAGAGTTTCATTAGCTGTTCAGTGAAATCCACAAGGAAATTGTTCCACCTCTAAGCAGCTGTCAGCATGCTTATTTCCATTCATCAGTGACATATCCAAACAAAAATATGGAGATGTATTAGTTGCCTGCAGTCAACAGAACTGAAAGCGTTTCCTGTAGTTTATTCTCTATTTTTCTGAAACAACTGAGCATAAATTGTGTCAGTTTCGGCTGGCTCTGGCTGCCAATTCCCTGCACTAATTTGCAAGCTGACAAGGGTAAGAAGTCTGCTGAAGGTAAATATGACTCAGTCTCTGGGGACAGTTTATTTAGAAAGGGAAATTTCAGAGTGTCTCAGGACTGCTGAATGCTGGTGGCCATTAACTAAAGGGCAATTCTCAGGAAATAGTCACTTGAAAAGCAGCTTATACAAATATGTGACATTAATATATATCAAAAGGTAGCTTATAACTGAGCAAAATAACATCCATAAGATAATTGAAGTTTAAGTCTGTTTAAATCAGTAGTCTGCAGGGTACACAAGACCTGACTTGGATCATGCCTGCTTCTTTTCCAGATACATTGTGTTTTGAGTTCTCTTCTCTCCTCCTGTTGCATTTGTCATAATTCATAGTTAATTAAAGTGCATCTCTAGCAGAAACTTTTTTTAAATTTTTGGCGACAGATCAGGTCAGCTCCCTATCTGAGGAGATTACCCTCTATTTTTGCTTGTGAGCAACATCTGGACAGAAAGTGATGGGAAATCTAAAATTCTAATTTCTATCATCAGAACAGGGCGTACAAGAAAATCTTACAATGGGGACACCTGTTCCAGTGACAACTGTCTAATTTTATAGTTATCTCCGGGGGAAGGAAGCTAAGGGAAATCTGAAACGAACACAGAAAAATGTTCTAACCATTCTACGAAACTAAAGAAAGGTTTGGGAAATATACACTTTAAAGATCCCATGAGAAGAGTTGGATCTCCTCATAATGGCGACAGCGGGTGTGCAGACCTGGAACTTGATGCAAAGATCTCACCAAAGAGTCTCAAAAAGATAAAAGAAACTGTTTGGTGGTTTAACTCATTTACCAGTGACATGGGGTAATGCTATAGTGACTTTCCAACAATGGATACATTCATGTTCCTAGTAAAACCTGCAGATTGCAAATTGCATAAAAGGTTCTCATCCATATATTCAATAGTGAAAGGTGAAGCACAATCAGACAAGCTGTAGTGTTTCCTGTTTGCCCACTAGGTTCTGACAGCAGCATATATTGACCACCTCATGTAAAGATCTGCTGGAACTCTGCGCTGTCTTCTATTCCATATGAAGAGAAGGTATATTTTAGCACTTTCAGCACATACACTATTTAGTACTTTTTTCACTATATTTTGTATTGTTTAATTTACGTTGCAGTAGGATTATGTAAGACTTTTTGGACCCTAACACAATTGCATACACCATGGAGTATCTGTATAAGCCTTTCTGTTGCTTTGGAGAAGATATTATTGTCTTCTTCTTCACCTGGAACCCTATGACGTTTCAGTTAGAGAGAGACATTATAGGTTCCCATTTAGAAGCATTTTGAGTACAGCCCATAGGAAGCAAGATTGTATTTTTTTTAATGAATACTGACTGAACACTCTAGACTACACATAGATAAGAAAAATCACTTTAATGTTTCTCTTCCAAAAAATAACAGTAAAACAAATCATTACATGCTGCACACATTTACTATTAGAGAAGAGGGAGCTGATGCTGCAATTCAGGCAAATGCCTAATTTTCAGACCACGAGAGAATTGGATAATACATTCTGCCCAATACTTGGATTGTGAGCTTTTCCATGGATCAGGCAAACAGACACTTGCTCATTTAGATGAATAGGACATTTTTTTTAAATTTTACATGGAAAGTATCTAATCTGCACAATTTGCAGAGGATTGTGGATCTGCCATCTTGGTTTGATATGGATTTCCTTGTTGAACTTTACATTAAATCATTTTGTTACAGGGTCCAATAACTGCAGCATTTAAAACTGGCTGTACATACACTTTCTGTATTTGCATAAGATCAATGCAAAGAGTGCACTTACCCAAAGGAACCAATCAGAGATTGTATAATTGTATACCAACCAATAAGACATCTCTTTTCATTGTTTCTGGAGGAAAGCTGGATGGCTCTTATAGATTTCTACATGACTGTTCTTATTAAATATGCCGTGCCTTTCCCCAATTCAGGAATGATTTTCTGTAATGCTAATGGATTACAAAGGCAGATTCTACAGTTCTGCAAGCAGTCAGTGCTACGGGGGGACAGATCACAGTGTATGAAGATGGCATTCTGACATGTGGACATAGACAGGAGAGTGACAGTGTGATATTTCTGTTGTTTTATATTTCCGTGATGCAGAACAGTTGCAGTATCTTTAATTCCCAGTCTGTCTAGTTCTCAAGAACCATTGTACTTGTTAATGTTAACGAACACTGGTGTTGGAGACACCGAATCCCCGGGGGTAGGGCAAGTTGTATCTGCTGGTGGCAGGGCCTGTGTAATCTTCGGCAATGGCTGCCTCTCCCAGTCGCCCTTTAAAAGATAAAAAGATGTTTTGTTGCAAGTGTAAAACTAACATTTTAAAGATATACTGCAGTCAGAATTGAAAAATTAAGCCTTGAGAGGTGTACAGGTAACAGGGCCTAATGTTCTCGACTCCTAGGCTTCATCCTCACAGTTGTGTAGGTCACCAATCCACCCCACTTGCTTTACACAATAATCTAGAAACCCCCTTTGCTTACTTGCTTGTGCTGAAGGGGAGGGATTCCCCCATAACACTCACCGCAGGCTCCTGGCTGTCTCTCGCATATAGAAAGCCTCATATATCAATAGGTCAGTGCTAAAAAGTTCTCTGTAGCTACCAATCAGATCCAAATAAGCCTTGAAATGTTGAAGCTGATTGGTGATACAGCGAGCAGACAGAGAGAGGAAATGACACTGCACAGATTCAGGAAGCGGCACACCCACTGAACATCTGAGGAACTCTATAGAATCTATGTGCATTGGACATCATAACATTAAGATTAAAGGGTATCTATGGCCAAAAACTACAAAGAAATATGTATTTCTATATTGAATTTCCATCCCACCAGTTCTATCGGTCTCCTAATAACCATATCAATCTAGAAATCTGTACACTGAAGATGCCCACAGGATGTACTTCCTCAATGCGCTGACACAATTTCACTCAGCCCTGTCAATATGCACTTCCTTGTATCATCACCCTCACTGAGCATGCCTTCTGAACTACAACTCAACATCTGAACAATTTAACATTATCATTGCTTGCTGGAAGCAATGCATTATGGGATATGTAGTCTTGAGAAACAGACTGCATCGCATCAAGCAGCAGGGAAAGAGATGCAAAGCACATTAAGAATCCAGGAAGTTGTTAAAAGTGATGGGCAGACGGAAGGCAGAGCTCACTACATGAAAGAGAACAAGCATAGCATGTATTCCTATTACAGTGCTGATATTATAACAGGATAGGATATGCTGAGATTTTAGATTAGAGTTTCTAGGTAGTTACACTGACATAATTCCAATATCAGATCTTATACATTTGCCTAGAGTTCTCCTTTAAATGTTATTAACAGTCCTATCATGCAGTGAGCACTCCTCCGCTCCGTAGACAGAGAATCAACGATGCAGCCAGCTGCACCTTCCAGCCATGCGGCAAAGTCACCGGGACAGTCTGACTTCAATGCTCTGGGCAGGTTGTCACTGCTGTTCAGCTGCACTATTTATAGAAGCTGAAGACGATCGGGGAAGGGAACACATAGCAGCCGCCTGTGGAGGGGAAGGATGATCAAGATGATCAATTGGAACAAAATTATGCAGAAAGCAGGTGATGCGAGTGGGAAATATCATGCATTGCAGAAATCTGGAACTGTTGGTAGGAGTAGTAGTAAATACATGGCACAGAGCCCAGGTGAGGTGATAAGACCCAATTTAGGCCCCATTCCCAGAGCGATATCACTCTCCAATGCAAGTCAATGGAGCTGTGCTGGTCGTTGTTGCGCGTCGCTACTGCAGGACCCTTTTTTGCCGCGGATGTCGCACGATTGCACTCGGTCCAATGCAATCATTTGCACGTTATTGCACGTAAAACCGTGTGATATCGCGCAAAATGACAATCACGTGACAAATGCGCAATTTGCAATCCGCTCAGTGTGAATAGGGCCTAAAGGAGCAGCAAATGTAAAGAATACCTCTAGCCAAAAAATGTGGGGAGTGGGGAAAGGTTAGACTATCTGTCAAACTTTATGGCTGTCTGTGGCTCCCTTGGGGAGATTCACCCTCAACTTTTTCTTGTAACAATTATCAGGGGAAGCCAACATTTTAGGGTTGTAACGGAGACAGGATTTTGTGCTGCACTCAACCTCATACAAAATCATGAAATGTGTAGGTATGGTGGATAGAAATATGGGAGCAGCCATTACTGACTTTTCTTCACTACATGCAGGATGGGAGTCAGACTTTTCAGACTTCACTCGGTGCATGCTTGCTCTGTGTCAATGACTCAATGCATGGTTAAGATCTGGGTTTTAGTTGAGCATGATTTCAACGAAAACCCATTGAAACAACTGAACACACTGGCCAGATGTGGAACAAATCTATGGCTGTTGTTAGTAAACAAACCAGCCAGGGAACGTGGGTGACATCATTGACCCAATATGGTCATGACTATATTTGGTTAATGATGTCACCCAGCATCCGAGGGCTTAAAAAACAGACAAGTTGGCTGTAAATGTGCCATTTTGTATCAGTAGTGCGGCAGGGCAATAATGTGTGGTGGCAAGTCATGGTGGCAGCAGGGCAACCTCATAGGGTGCCAGGTCACTGTGGTAGCAGGTCATCATGATTAATGTTAGATCTACATTGTTGGACAACTTTTTCATGGTGTGGGTGTCTTTATTTCTTTTTGACACCTGGTACAAATTCCATTTAGTGGGGGGCAGATATCAGGGAGCCCCGTTAATTTCCCACCTGCAGTAAATCCTCTCCTACAAAGGTTTCATCCCTGTATCCTGCACCCCAAAAGGGATGGCTAGATATCTGCCCACCCAAGGGAATGAGTACCCCTTATTACTCATTCCCAAAAAAGTAAACAATGACATACAATGTAAATCCATGATTAATCATCATCAATCACATCATCCAGCATCAATCACAAAGACTCGTCCCCATGATCTTTCCTGCCACACTACAACCTTTAAAATGGTGGCTAATTGTGATTGGCACTGAATTAACGTTGCCAGATGAGGTGGTTGACAATGGATTTAAATTGGGAGGCAAAGTATTTATTCAAGCACTTTTTCAATGTGTGTGTGTTTTTTTACTTTTATTTTATTCTTTTATTTTCAGGGGGAAGATGAGTAATAAGGAGTTCTTATGTACCCCTTACTCATTTCCGGGGGGGGTTGGATATCTGGGGCCCCTTATTATAAAGGGGATTCCAGATTCTGACTAGCCACTATTACCCCCCCATTCCCCTTCCGTATACCCACAAATCCTTTTTTGAGGGACAGGATGTAGGGAGGATGATGCCCTTGTTCCCTCAACATGGGGACAGGGTGCCTTGATGGGGAAGAGGGGACTTGGCCACCCCCCTTCCTTGCAAGGCACTCCCTGAAGTGTTGAAAGGAATTTTAAAGGGAAACCCCATGCTTTTTAAAAAATATTTTTTTAATGTCACTTTTAGGAGTTAGCTTTTAAGAGTTAACCCACCAAATGTGTTATTTAAAGGATTTGTGTTTTTTTAATGTTGTTCTTTAACCACTTGAAGCCCGGGGTGTTAAACCCCCTTCCCATCCAGGCCCTTTTTCAGTATTCAGCGCTGCGGTACTTTGACTGACATTTATTCCGTCATGCAACGCTGTACTGAAATGAATTTTATACCCTTTTTTGGGGACAGATAGAGCTTTCTTTTGGTGGTATTTATTCACCACTGGGGGTTTTATTTTTTTACTATATTAAGGAAAAATTACCGAAATAAATAAAAAAAACTGTTTCCCCTATATTAAATGATAAAACATTTATTATTACCCAATTTTTTGGTAAAATATAAAAGACGGGGTCACGTCGGGTCAAAAGACACCAAACATGAGCGGTAAAAATGCGTGCGCGTGCGAAACCTCAAAAAACGATAATACCCAAAATTGGCCATAGGCGACGCTTTAAAAGCTTTTACCACTCATCAGTTTTGTGTTATCAGTGATTGATGGCCCTAAAATGATTGCTCTCAGCTCTTGTCGTTTTCGCGCACTGGTGCACCGGACGCGTACTTACGTTTATATGTGCATAAACGTGGGGGTGGGGAACTTAAACATGTTGGGTTTTTTTAAAACTTTTTTTATATGTGACTTTTATTCTTTTTACTTTTTTTAATTTATATATTTTTTTTAACACTTATTGTTGTGGGTATATGTTAAACAGCCGGTAACGGCTCTATGCAGTGCACGGGTTTTTTCTGCCCGTGCGCAAAAAAAAAATGCTGTCTTGAGACGGCAACCCACTAATGCAGCAGTGCCGTCCGTCCGGTTTTTTTCAACGGGTGGACGGCAACTGGTTAAGTTGCAGCAAAAGACCCTTTCCCCACTAATTGGTATTTTATTTTGTGCATTAGTACATGATTCTAATGGTGGTACCTATGCTACCTTGAAATAATTTTTTTTGGCGGCTCCCATAGACTTCTAATGGGTTTGACGCTAAGTTTGGGGTTTACCGACTTCCCACAGGGTTCACCAAACCTCCTGCAAACCATACTTGGCCTGAGTTTAGACATCTCTACTCACTAGGTAGCTAAGCCAGTTCCCTGTGTTTGCATGGGTTTCCTCCAGGTAATCCGGTTTCCTCCCACACTCCAAAGACATGCTGGTAGGTTAATTGGCTCCTGTTTAGATTGGCCCTGTATGTATGCATGTGAGATGAGGACCCTAGATTGTAAGCTCCTTGAGGGCAGGGACTGATGTGACTGTGCAAAGCACTGTATAAATTGTCCATGCTATATAAATACCTGTAATAAATAAATAATTAAATAAGGATGACTGCCCTGGAGCCTGCCAAAGCCACACTGCGACTTCCTCGGTGGTACAAATGTAAAAGTACCCAGCAAATGAATAAGAGGAATACTCAACTTTCCAGGGGACAGGGTGTTAAAACTTCGCCATCTTGAAGGGCTTCGTGCACCACTGCTATTTGACACTTCCAGGTGTCTCCTCCCCTCTCTGGCTGCTATAGTTTATCCCACCAAAACATATGTCACTAACAGACAAAGTAATTATTATTATTGTACAGGATTTATATAGCACCAACAGTTTGCGCAGCGCTTTACAATATATAACATAGAGATTGGCATGAGGAACCACAGCGTCCGTTATCTCACAAAACCGGAAGTGTCGGATGGCAGATGGGGCTCCTCAAGAGAATGAAGTTTCAATACTTCACCTGGGGCAGAATCCTTTCACATTTTCTTCAGTAAAAAAGCAACAGGGTCCCTTAAAAGAACAAGTCAGCAATTGAAGATTCCAATACTTTTTCCTCACAGGTTAAAGCACTGGTAAGCACCAAAGCTACGCTTTCTATAAATATTTTTTTCTTTTTAAACGTTTGATTCTATACAGCATGAAATCTCTCATTCAATTCCCTCTAAACACACCACCCCGCAGAGCTGAGCGAAAGAGCCGAGAGAAAAGCTGTTTCTATTCTAAATAGAGGAAAAAGGCAAAGCCTTAGAAATTCCGCCCCCTCGCCATAAAGAAAGAGCGAGAGAATGTGTGTTTATTCCCTCTCGCTTGATGCGTGGGTGAGAAGCGTATTAGCGGTGTTTATCCCAAAAAGATTACTTATTCCTTCCCCCTGGGGAAACATTTCACCCAAAGCGGAGTGAAAACAAAGCCAGATTTGCAGCCGAACGCAGAAAAATGCAGTATAGAATTGCAGCATTTACAGATTAGGGAATTATAGGTTTCTGTGTCTCACGGACTATATGGGAAGAGGCTCGGTGAAGCCGATCCTTATTTGTGTAATTTGTATACTTCACAGCTCTTTAAAACAGTGTAAGCCACAAGCGCTGAATAATGACTTTGACCTTATTATAATAGCTGAAGAAAACTGAGGCAGAACAGAAAAAGGAGAGAGAACCGCAAAGTTCATGAAATTAAAGAGAAAGATGGGAGATGGTGGTAAAAGGCTAGGTTGGGGTGCTTTACCTAATAGCACATAACCCCTGGTATGATAAATCCCACTCTCTCAACTAGCTACCCACTACCACTCAATCAGTTGGTCAACTGACAGCGAAAAGGCTGCAACCATTGCTATGAAAGACCAAAACTATGCCCCATCCTTTAGTTCCATCACCATGAAGATGTCCTTAAAGTGGATCTTCAACCTGAAAAAAAATTTGCTCCCCTAAATCCTTCCTCCCCCTTCAACATGATTCCCTTGTTTTGTTGTTTGTTTGCTTAACCCTTGTTTTGACTCTTCACTTTCTGGCCCAGCCCTTGGCTTTCATTCTTGCCTAGGCTAGAATGATGTGCTCCGCTCCTAGTGCCTCCTGGGATATGTACGTCACATATCCCAGGGGAGGGGGCATCGGCTTCCATACAGCAGACAGAGGAGTAAGGCAGGTCTTTCAATGCAGAATCGGGGACCAGCTGGCTAAACCTGGAACAGACAGCCAGCTCCCAATGACGTCAAGGAAGAAGATGGTGGAGAAGCACCCAGCATGTGGCAGCAGAACACAGATCACAGCAAGACATCACTAGATTTGCTGGGTGGGTGAGTGTGATAATTGAAGACTTAGGTAAGAGGA